ACACACACACACACACACACACACACACACACACAGAATCAATTTCAACTTCTTGAAATTTCATGTCATTTACAGGTCATTAACATCTCACTGTTACTGATTTATCATGCAGCTCAAAGCATTATGGGTAGAATCTCTCATCAGTCTATTCTGATTCATCAACACAGTTTCACTGATGCTCTTTTATAAACCCCAAACCCAGGATAGAGTGGCTGAGTGAATGTGGTCTGGACTGTGTGGATGAGGCTCATTGTGTCAGAGACGCTGTAGAAGGACAGAGTTCCTGCACTGTGATCCACAAACACTCCTATTCTACTGCTGATGTACTCTACAGGGAGAGCAGTCTGTATCTTATTGTGTCTGAATGTGTATCTGGAGGGAGTGCAGATCAAACTCCAGGACTGATCATTATATCCAAACAAACACTCATCACCCCATCCCTGCCTGCTGATGCTCTTATATGACACTGATATACGCACACCATAATTTCCACTCCACTCCAGCTCCCAGTAACAGCGTCCACACACACTCTCTCTACACAACACCTGACGATACACATCAAATCTGTCTGGATGATCAGCATACGGCTGATCTGTGTAAGTGACAGTAATCACTCTGTTGCTTTCAGAAAGATGGAGGATTTTATTCACTGTGTTCAGATCCAGAGAGAGCTGATGGGAATCTGATGGAGAAAAAACACATCAGAATCAGGAATTATGAATCTGTTTGATCTTTTCATGTAGCTGAACTCTTCATGTTCAGTGTATCATCAGTGTCTCAGTACAGATGAGCAGATATCTGTGCAAATCATCATTTACATCATCAGTTATAAAACTCTTCTTTCACCTTCTACAGGAAGAACACGAAGACACTCAGTGAGTTTTTCTGCTTGTTTTCTTACTGACTTATATTGTAGAAAGTCGTTCCTGGTTCTTGGAACAATGTTGGTGAATGTGACTGTGGAAATCAACAGACATGAACAGTGTGATTCTCATGATCCTGTATCTATTCCTAACACATTTCTAATATGATGTTCTGCATGATATGAGCTGATGATGGACTGGTTTCTGAGAGCAGATGAATCTGCAGGACTTTACCTCTGTCTGAGATCTTCTTGAGCTCCTCTTTGCAGAAATCCTCCAGTTTGTCTCTCAGCTGACAGATTCTCTCAGATCATCAAAAGAGAAGAGAGAACTGAAGGGATCATCATTTACGTCTGTAGATTCAGGAGGTGCTGAGAGAGACTGGAAACTCTACAGAAAACAATAAAAACTCATCAGCTCCACACTTCACCTAATAACCTGGACCAACATCAGATTTGTGTGGCTCTTGTTGACTTGACTGATCTTTAGTAACGCACCTCAATCCAGCACTTTCACAGCATCAGCTTTATTCTTCTCATATTCATTATATCACATTAGAGCTACAGATTCTAGTATTTGACACTTACACTCTATGTGAACTTTCTAGGAAACCGTTTGGATGATAAAACATCTGCTAAGATCATAAATGTCCATCTAACAGCTCAAGCACATCAATGGAGTCTCATTGTAGAGTTGAGTAGATTTGCTCAGGAAAAGCAGCTCAAAGGCTATGATTAGATTGACCATTATTTATAACTTTAGAGTGGTTAGAGACACTGAAACTTCACAAGGACCCTTAATACACAGTCAGGTTTGATTTGGCTTCAGTACACTGAAGCATTGCTAATATACAGCCTGACTTCATGTTGTCTTCATGGTCATGTAAGCGGAGTATGTTTCAAAAGAATATGATCAGATGAGAGTCTGACTGATGATTATGTAATGAACTCACTCATGACTTCTGCGTCTCCTTCAGCTGCTTCTGCAGGACAAACAGATGATAGTGAATCTCACAGAAAACTACTGGCACTAAATCATCATGTGAACAGATGAATCCAGTAAATATAGGGTGAGGCAGTTAAAAGGTCACTTATGAAGTCAAAATTATTATTGGCAAAGAGGAATTATTCTGGAAAGCTAAGGAACCAATTATCTTCCAGTGACCCTGCTTCAGTGTCGAAAGGTCTGAAAGACATCTTGAGCAGATATTCTCAGGAAAAGCAGCTCAAAGGCTATGATTAGTTTGAGCATTATTTATAACTTTAGAGCGGTCAGAGACACTGAAACTTCACAAGGACCCTTAATACACAGTCAGGTTTGATTTGGCTTCAGTACACTGAAGCATTGCTAATATACAGCCTGACTTCATGTTGTCTTCATGGTCATGTAAGCGGAGTATGTTTCAAAAGAATATGATCAGATGAGAGTCTGACTGATGATTATGTAATGAACTCACTCATGACTTCTGCGTCTCCTTCAGCTGCTTCTGCAGGACAAACAGATGATAGTGAATCTCACAGAAAACTACTGGCACTAAATCATGTCAACAGATGAATCCAGTAAACGTAGGACTGATAACTAATGGCTGTAGGATCGAACTCCAGATGATCGGTTACAATCATCATACTTGAATTGACTCTTCTGCATTAACATGCGACCTGTATCCGGATGTTGTCCACATACACATTGAAAAGACAAGTGTAAACGTGCTTCTGTCACACGGCTGTCTGTCTCTCTCCCCGCAGACGACCCGTCGGGTCAGTGGCAGGCCTGTGAGGGTCTCGGTGGGATCAGAATACAGATGAGGGACCCGGATAAAGCTGCCATGTACTATAAAGATGCCCTTCGACTGCTGTGCAAATGCCAGGTGAGATCTAAACACAACCATCACTGCATTTTCCACAATACAAATCATGGTTTTATCATCTGAAACGTGCTGCGACCTATATTTCACAGCGACTAATAATGCAATTAACATCACAGACACAAAACACGCTCAAACCACATGTTTGTATTGGTGCTGAATGAGAGCAGGGTTGTTATAGTCAACTAAAACCACACACAAAAAAAGGTTTTAGTTACTTGAAATAGAATGCATGTTAACTGAAGTAACATAAAATATTAAAAAAGTTTCCATGGCAACATTTCTCATTTCGAATTAAAAACAGAGATATTTAAAAGCAACAAAAACTAATAAAACTGACAAAAACGCAACAAAATTACTACAAATTCAACAAAAATATGAAAAAAACACATGAAAGCAGGAAATATTTTAATAATTCTAAATATTAACAAAAACTATAATAGCATCTCAGTGTTATTAACATAACACTGAATGTGAGAGGAACGTGAGCTCAAGTTTATTTAAAGCTATAAAGCTTTGTTTAGTCTTATTTATAATGAATGCCACCGTAATTTATGTTTGGTTTATACTTAGATTTTTTTTATTCCTGGTCTTTTCTGAATACTATTAAACGTAAAGGACTTTTTGAAGAGTGAGGGGAACTTAAATACCTCTTTATTGTGTTTATAATGATTGTAAACGGTTTTATGTACAGGCATTTTACATTATTTCTGAATGTAATAATTGAAGGTGACACAGCTGATCTGTGTTTTCCCTCAAGAATGCATTTTATGCAGTGTTTGACTAATGATCAGGCGTGTGTTTGATCTGCAGGACGTGTCTGGTTCAGTGCAGGAGCGTCTGGTCAGTGAACTGAGTGAAGCGTTACAGCAGAAGCTGCTCCTACAGCAGGTCAGTCTGTCTGAATATTAAACATGAAACATGCACTTATTCTCTCAACCTCTCACTATTAGGGCTGCAGGATAAATTGGAATAAAACCGAAACTGTAATATGGATTAATGCAATTATTAAATCACAAAGGCTGTGATGTAATTAAATACATGCACTGTGTGTTTCAAAGTGAAGCGTGGCACTGTGTTCATTTACACGCGAGCAGCTCATGATCCAGTGTTTTCAGTGATTCAGAATGTCTTGGTTTCACAGTAAATGATCTGCATGAACTCCATCTGCATCTGCTCTGAGTTTGAGTTGCTTTAACATGCATTTGAAAACAAGCACCAACTATCTTGACAAACTTGAAGTGAGAAGCACTTATCAACAAAAGAAAAGATTTAAGGGCTCCCTGCTGTTTTCTGTCAAAATAAAAGCTTGATGCTTTAATGTTTGAAAACTAAACAATTACGACATAAATATTAGTAAGGTCATTTTACAGTTTTACATTATATATTATTATCTTTAATATATTTTATTTTACAGTGAAATATTTCAAAAGTCATATTTCTAATTTTAATATTTTATTTAGTAGTAATAATAATAATTATTATAGTTATTATTGATATATAATCTCAACTATTAAAATAAATAAATAAATATTATTATAGTTATATTGATATATAATCTCAACATTTTTTCCAAATTTTGCAGCAAATGTTTTTTCAGCATTTTAAATCACAATCACAATTTTTTTCAGAAAAATTGCAATCAGATTTTCCCCCAAATTTAATATTTTATTTAGTAAAAATAATAATTATAATAATTATTATTATAGTTATTATTGATATATAATCTCAACTATTACAAGAAATAAATATTATTATAGTTATATCGATATATAATCTCAACATGTTTTCCAAATTTTGCAGCAAATCTGGAGGTTTTTCAGCGTTTTAAATCACAATTTTTATCAGAGAAATTGCAGTTAGATTTTTCCCCAAATTGTGCAGCCCTATTCACTATCCTGTGACGTTCATCACAGTCTGATCTGATCTGATTCTCAGAGAGGAGCAGCATCACAACGAACCGTCCCGGAGCGACATCACAACCGACGGTAACACCACATAACACTCACCTCGTCATCAGAGGGTGCACCAGTGTGTTTTTGAGTGAATGAAGCTGTAGGGTGTTGTTAGAGATACAGGATGAGATCTTCACTCTCGTGTGTCTGCAGGACGACGGCTGTGAGGACAGATGTCCAGCAGTGGAGGAGAGAGATGCCAAACGGAGAGAACGCACCCCGTAAGAACTGAGCACACACTTACAGCTGAGGAACACACAATACTGTCAACAGAGAACAGATTTACTGTGTGTTATTCTCAGCAGACGGGAAGCAGCACAGCCAAACCACGACATCATCAGAGACACACCTGCAGCAAGAACAAGAACAAGCTGATCATCACAGTGCACTTCCAGAGGCCAACAGGTCAAACACACACACACACACACACACACACACACACACACACACATGTTTGTTTATACCATGTTGGGGATTTACACACACACACACACACGCACATATACTCACTCACTCACTCACTCACTCACACACACACACGTTTAATCAGTCATCTAAATGAGGACTTAACATAATGTTTACAATGATCTTTTGAATGAGAGTGAACCAAAACTGAGCAGCATCCAAAAGCAACAAAAAAGTTTCCCTTTTCACTTTTATTGGATTGTAATTTTAAAAGGCATTTTAAAAAGGTAAATTTTGTGTAATATTTTTATTTACTAATAATAATAATCATAACAATATATATATATATATATTATTACATAGCCATAGTAATATAATCACAAAATATTTGCCAAAATCATGCAGCACTACAAACAAGCAAGCCTGCAGTTTTTTTTTAAATTGCATTTTAACACAATCACAATTATTTATTGGAATTAATATATAAATGCTATATTATTGATATATAATCACAAACGTTTTGGCTAAATTGTGTGACCTACAAACAAGCACAGCTAAGGTTTAATTCACAAGTGCAATTTTTATCAGAAAAAAAAACACAATTAACTTTTCCCACAAATTATGAAGCCCTACTCACTATAGTCACTAAATAAAAGTTTGATAGTTTAATGTTTGAAAATGAAGAATTATAGACATACATTTTTTTTACTTCATTTTTTTATTTTTTAAATACTGTTTTTTTTGGTTTTACAGTGTAATATTGTATTTTTTGTATTAATATTATTATATAGCCATATCAATATGTAATCTCAAAAAATTTAGGTCAAATTGTGCTGCCATGCATACATGCAAACCTGGAGTTTTTTTTTTTTTTTTTTTCAATTGCATTTTAAATCACAATGGCAATTTTTATCAAAGATTTTTATTAGATTTATCAGAATTAGATTTTCAGGACATGCAATGTATCGCAGCCTTTACATGATAAAACTTGCATTTGAAAACACGACTCTGAGTCTTTAAACTGCTGAATGTGATCATCAGGAATCTGAATAACACGTATAATAAAGCAGAGGTGACTCAACAGATCCTCCCATCAGAGTCTTCAGGATCGCGAGCACACGGTGAGTCTGAACAAACTCACAAATATCAGAGAAAATAGAGAGAGAAGACTTCAAACAAATGAACTCACACTCAGCTCACATCTGACTTCATAGGTGATGTGTCTGCTGAATCTGTGAAGCCCAGGCCGGTACAGATGAACGGGTATGAGTCTGTTTCTCATGTATTTAGAGTGCATAAATCTTGTGCTGATCGAGACGATGGATTATTTCATGATGTAAATGTTTCAGCACACACCCATTGGTCAGGAGCACGGTGGCTCCGCCCCTCACTCAGCCTGACAGCAATGAGGCCACGCCCCTGGCGAGGAGACTGAAGTCCAGATTCTGCACAGTCATGTGACATAAAGGGTACTATCTCAATGGGAAAGAGCTTTTCTAGGGTTTTTAGGGATTGTGATTGCCGTGGCGACGCTTCCAGACCGCAAACACAAGGATTCAAGATTCAACATGAACACAAAACTGAAGCAGGACTCGTTAGTGGACGTCACGTGTCTGATAAACGACGTGGACATATTTTCTATTAAAATTAGACACTTTAAAGGGTGGATCAGATGCCCTGAACTCTTGTGATGCCAACTGTGTGATCACGAGTCGTGTATTATTTCATGCAGTATTTCTGTGTTTCAGCAGGGGAAACGTCTTCTCATTATTGTCTCATTTCAGTCTCTTAACACTTTCACCAGTTTCAGCAAACATCCTGAGTGAATCCATCCGTCTCATCCAAGATTAAAGCACCTACTGCACTGATAATAGCTAAATAAATTTGATATCAAAAAGTTTATCAGTCAGTAAAGTTATTTTCCACACAAACGCATGTCCAAAAAGACGTCTCACAGTCTGAAATGTCTAGGTTTTTACACGTAAAATGATAATAATAGTCACACTGTTCCTTGTAGCACAGCATAACATGCTTAAGAAAACAGTTATTGGTGTCTCAGTCTTGAATAAAGGCATAACATGCATAATATAAACGTGACACCTGTCCACAACCTTAGAGCAGTAAGCCTAGGTAAGTTATAAATACTCTTGTGTTAAAATTTAAAATTAACTGCTATTTCCTGCAAACTTATCAGTTAGTGCTCAGGTTTGGGTTGCAATGGTAATTATCGGTGTTAAAGCGACTAACCACGCCCATTACTTACAAGCCACGCCCCCAAACACGTCAGCCAACCCGGTGAACGCAGCCTATTGGAGAAACGAAGCTTTGAATCATGTTTTATTGAAAGTGAACTTTATTAAATGCAATTAACAAATCATCTAATACCATTAAATATTAAGTATCTGTGTTATTGTATTAATTTGTATGGCTTGTTTTGTTTGCTTAATCAGGCCAATAAGAGACTAATAAATACAACTCTTATTTTGTATATTTCTTATAATGTGGCATTAAAAATGTCTATACATTTATACAATTGATCCGAGATTAGGTATTTAAAAAAAGACACATGGACACTGGTTCGTGAGTTCACAAAGATTTAACCAAATCTAAAGTCTCATCGGCCCCTAGATTCGCGAAGTTCCGATCTGAATCAAATGATTCGCGATCCGATTGGAGCACTCGAAACAGTGAATCATTTTGCGACGCAATGGTTTAACTGATTCGGAGTTTCTAAAAGCTCAGTTTCACCCATCACTATGTGTTTTTTTAAAGGGGTCATATGATGTTGCTAAAAAGAACATTATTTGGTGTAATGAAATGTGTTTATGCGGTTTAAGGTTAAAAAACACATTATTTTCCACACTGTACATTATTGTTGCTCCTCTATGCCCCGCCTTTCTGAAACGCGTCGATTTTTACAAAGCTCATCGTTCTGAAAAGCGAGGTGTGCTGTGATTGGCCAGTTATCCAGTGCGTTGTGATTGGCCGAATACCTCCAGCGTGTGACGGAAATGTTACGCCCCTCACCATACTGTGATGCTGCCCTGTCCGGCCGGAGCGACGAGACTCAGTCCAGCTGCTCTGCTCGTGCACATCCCATCATCTTTTTAGCAGTTCAGTCAATGTACTGTTAGGAGTAACTGAATAACTCGGGATATTGGTTTATTTCGCGTCAGAGGGAGTGTCAGGCACGTTTATAAACCGAATCCTGGGAGAGTAGACTACAATGCCGGCTGTTCTTACAGTTCTGAACTGTAAGTACGTTTTTTATATATAAAGAATTTGCCACTGACGAGTCATACGCGAGTCATTATAATCCGTAATTATTCTTATTACGTAATTATTTCTATATACAAATTATTCTGTCACACGCTTGAGGTATTCTGCCAATCACAACGCACTGGATAGCTGGCCAATCACAGCACACCTCGCTTTTCAGAGTGTTTATCATTTCAAGTGATGTAGAAATTCGAAAATGAATTTTTTTTTAGATCTGGTTTTTGCTAGTGAATCGCTTGAACTGAATGATCAAAGTCACGAGTTCGAATCAATCGGAGCGGTTCTCGCTCAATTGAATCGGTTCGTCTGTTCCTCTTTCCGCGTCTTCAGTCCTGTTTACACGACACTGTCAGCACGACTACTGGCTTAACTCAATAGTTTTATGACATTTAACTGAAATAAGAGAAAAAGCATGATGTTTACAAATAAAATATCCATATTTCCATTCCAAAGATAACATCCAACACAAATCTACGAACATTAGTTTACTGCTAACTAGTGCAACACCATTAAAATGACGAGCTGCAGCTCACAATACATTGTGCATTATTTTCTGTGAATTAAATGTTTTCTAGCGTATTTCTTTAACTTCTCAGGTAATATCAATGGTGTGACTTATTCCAGATGCGGGCGAAAATACAACAACAGTGTTACACAGGGCCGTTTTAACCATAGAGCTAGGCGGGGCTGAAGCCCCGGGACCCGAGCAAGGAGGGGGCCCGTGATTGGCTGTGGAGTAGATTGACTGGAGCGCCGATCGCCAAAGCCACCACGCCCCCCACTTATTAGCGCTGTTATTTAGTGGGGGCCCTGTAGTAAGTCATAGCCCCGGGGCCCAGTGCGGTCTTAATGCGGCCCTGGTGTTACATATACATATATTTCATTGTTTGATCAAAATGATTGCAAGGGACAATTTAGTATATTGGTAGAGACATGTCATAGCGTTCACACTTGCACCCATGAATAATGCAGATACAATGTTCAGATACATTCTCACAATTAAAATATGCAAGAGGCTTAGTAACTCAAAAATAATACATGGATCAATAACCTTACGAACCTGGAATTATCAAGAATTTCAAACGGCATTTTCCCATTGGTTTACATGAGTGGAGTTATTCTCTCACTCTATCTCTCACACACACACACTCACACACACACACACACACACACACACACACACACTCACACACACACACACA